TGGCTGGCATGTGGTGCTGGGGGATTGAACCGTGGTCCCTGGGCTTTGCTAAGCTTGTTCTAAGTAGGTGCTTTAGACCACTGAGCCATCTCACCAGCCCCTGCATGACATTCTTGCAAGAGGCCAAACCACAGGGCCAGCCAGATAGCTCAGTGGACTAAAGCGCCTGATTCAGCAGAGTGCAACGCACAGGCTTTGATCCCCGGTGTGCTGTGTTGGCCTGGCCCCCAGGGTGTGCTAAGACAGTGACTCAGACTGGGCTGGTGTCATGCCTGTAATCCCAGCACTTGGGAGGCTGAAAACAGGAGCATCACTAGAGTGTGATCTACGTAGAGAGGCCCTAGAGTCCCTGTACTAAATACATTTTAAAAAAAGAAAAAAGGTCAAACTACAAAGACAAGGTCAGCAGTCACGGGGGCAGGCAAAGGAAGAGACACATCAGTGGGACAGAGAAGTTTCAGGGCAGACTCACTATCATAGTAGATACACTTATGCACACATTTGCCCAAATCCATACAGTATGCAACACCAGGAAAGCATGCTAATATAAACTGCATTTCCTGGACAAGTAGGAGCTACCACATGTCTGTCAGCGCTAAGAAACGCACTCCGCTGCTGGGGATGTTGACAGTTGTGCAAGATGGCTAAGACGTAAGGTGCTCGCGTCTGCTCAGTACTGTTACGAGCCTAAAGCTGCTTGAAGTATGGGGCCAGGGATGCAGCTTGGGCACAGCGCATGCCGGGCAAGAGTGAAGGCGTCTGTCTGAATTCTTGGTACCAAGAAAAAAAAAAAAGAGGATGTTACAATACATACACACACACACACACACACACACACACACACACACACCCCACCTTACCAAAAGCTCTGGGAGCTGCTGTGGAAGCCAGAATATCTAAGTCAGTGGGCGGGCGAGGAAGCAACAGGGCCAGGCCCCAGCTCAAGGTCATTTCTGAAGCCAACTTAAGAAACACCTAGAACAATCACCAGACAGGGCTGTGACCATGCATTCTCAGCAAAGGAACGAAAGAAGAAAAGGCAAAGTGACAAAGAAGTATTTGGCGTCAGGAAAATACTTTCCTCCACATACATATTTTCAAATCTTGAGGCTTAGCGCTTGACACCTGAAAGATATCAATTTCATTTTAGCTGTGTTAATGCCAAGTCAAGAGCAGAATGAGAAGCCAGCCGGCTCCAACACTGTCCTTTCTGCGCAGTCCCACAGCTGACACGGCACACCCAGCCACGCCTCTGTCTGGACAAAGTCGGAAATGGACTGCACAGTTTGCCGCAGCCACTGAAATGACCTTCAGCCGCCATTACTACAGTCCCAGATTGATAAGCACACGCACACTCACAATTGCTTATTTCCACGTCACAACCATCCAGTATTTGTTTCTAAAAAAAAGTCCATTAACATTGCTTTACTTTTTAATACTCTTTAAAAGGAACATTCATTGGAAATACATACGCTTAGGTAAGCCTAGCATCCTCGTGCAGGCTGAAGCTCCAAGCCCTGCTACAAGGCCACCTAGAACCCTGCGACTCTGGGAACAAAGGGACCAGGTCTGAGGGAAGCCCCCGGGAGAAGCAGCAAGCACACCTCTTGGGGGCTGCAATGGGAGAAGGAAGAGGCGCATTCATTTTATAGTAAACAAAAAAGGAAACAAGGTTAAAATGAAGTTTATTATTTTTGATTTTTTTTTTTTTGTTTGTTTTTAGTTTTTTTAAATAAAACTGTTTGTGAAACAGCTATTTTATCCCCATGGCAGAGTGACCCCTGAAAGATGCACTAACCCCTTCTTAAGGCCTTAACAAGATTTTTTTTGTACTTTTTTCTTTTTTTTAAAACTCAGATATTTAAAAATTATACAATTACAAAACAAAACAACATAAAGAATCACAAAGCCTGGGGTTGCTTATCTAACAGCCCCCTTTTCCACTATAAAAACGAAAGCAAAAAGCAGAAGTGTTAGGTGTTTTCGGTCACTTAGCCCACCCACACACTGTACGCCGACATCCCTCCCTGCAAGCCCGCTCCCGTGGCAGAGGCCCGGGCCTCCTGCCATCCTGTGGGTCCCTGTGGCTCAGGCTCAGGCTCAGGCGCAGCTGCCTGGAATGTGCTGAGGACAGAGCTGGATACACCGCTTGACTCTGCTGCTGCATGGCTGCTGTGCCCACCTGGTGGGGCCCGGGATCTCACCAGCCAAGTGACCCAGGACACAGCCATGACCCTGGGATGCCTGCCAATTTTATCCCCCAAAAGATAAAAAATTTAAAAATAATAAATAAATAGTGTTTCTGGAAAGGAAAAAAATTTATTTTTGTGTTGAAACATCACACCCCACACCCCTGGAAACCTGGGCTGCCCCAACTCCCGCTCCCAGCCCTTCCCACTGGAACAGAGCTCTTCGGGAAGCTCGGTCCAGGCGTGGCTCATCTGCTCTCTTCATCCCAGGTCTAGTGTTCTTGACTGTTGCGAGAGGCTGAAGATCAAAGCGCCCCAACAATCGTTTATGAGATGAGTTTGCTCAGTTCAATTTCACATTTAAGTTTCACTATCATTGGAACAAATTTGGAATTAACTAGATAATTTTAAAATAGAATCAAAAGGGATAGCGCACCTTTCATTTAAACAAAGTCTTTCCAGACTAAAAATAGATTTATATATATATATTTTTTATCCCTCCCTTTATTCCCCCCTTCCCCATCAGCCTCCCCCCTCCCCCCACATTGTCACTATGGAGATTGTGTCCATGGAAACAGCCATTCCAACATCTTAGGCCTTTCTTTCCTGTGGTGTCACTGGTTTGAGTGATGTGAGAACGTAGGAAGGAAGTGCTGGCTTGGGCAGGCACGCGGGGCGGGACAGGGTGGGATGTGGCTGACAGTAGGACATTTCCGTTCCATCGTGAGTGTCCACCACTTCTCATCTCCACAGTCTAACCTGGAAGACAAGCAGCAGACCCTGAGTGCTGGGAACCTGCACACACGCCCGCCACTGGCAGCCCCTGCTCCATAGTGGCATCGGGATGGACCTCAGCTCCGAGCCCTCTGTAGAGTGCAGCTGACTTGGAAGACATCAAGACCAATGCTGATGCCGCTGCGGGACTCTGGACCTGGAACACGGTGAAGGCAGCAGGGACCTGAGTCTGCAGTGCAGGGCCACTTGGGGGCTTCTCAGGCCATGTCCAACTCCCCAAGGTGCAGACATGCAGCAGAGGACCCCGACCTCCAGGAGCTGCCCCACAGGAGGCTCAGTCTTGGTGGCTGGCTCCAACCTGAGCCGGTATCAGAGGTGACTGATGCAGCAGTCATAACTGACCCAGGAGCACCCAGCCACTCTACAGAGGGCGCTGTCACAGTCCAGAGTCTCCTGACCTCTTCACAGCTGTCTTTAGTTGATACAGCCAGTTCTTTACACAAACAACTCTTTCTCAAGTCTATAGCAGGGACAGAAATCTCAGTCCTTTTCAGAGGCTTGTAAGAGCTGGAGCCTATTAATCCTCAGGGCACCTCAGGACCCTGTCTCCAGCCACCGCCTTGTTTTCCAGACCAGGCTCAGGGCTAGAGTGCCGAGGGCACACACAGAGCTGATGGTTTTACCCAAGGCCTCCAATGGGCTCACAGAGCCCAAAGGTCCCAAGGAGCTGAGCCAGAAAAGCTGGACGAGTAGCCCAGAGTGATGGCGCCTCACCCTTTGTGCCAATCACAGCACGCTGGGCAGACGCATCCCCGAGGCTCCCTGGTGATTCCTCTTTCCTTTCCTCAGATGTCCTCCACCAAAGAGTAAACCTCAGGAAAAGCCAGGTGGCTGTCCCTCTCCTGCTCCCACAATGCTCATCAACACAAAAAACTGTTCAGAAGGCCGTGTGTGTGCAGAAGCTAAGAACTCCCAAATCTCAAGCACAAAGACACACATCTACCCTGATGGAAGGAGGCTAACTGCTCGGCAGAAAATACACATGTTCAGAAAGACACTACAGACACAGCAGTGCAGTATCACCACGCTCAAGTGGAAACTAATTCCAGCAGGACTCTGGGGCCAGGCCCTGAGAACACGGCCCTGTGGTAGAGCCACACTGTCCTTGGCATGTACAAAAAGCAGTGTGGCTTTCCTTGTCCCTCGGTCCCAGAGCTCACTCCAGTGCCACAGTCCATACCCAACTACCATCCCCCCACCAGCCAGCCCAGGGAGATTCACTGTCTTGATGGCTTTCATGCAGCCAAAGAGAGAAGTGGCAACAAATCTCATCGTGACCCTCGAGAACCTGAGGCCCTTTGCAAAATGACACAATGAGACTTGAGTTAGTGGAGCCTCAGAGAATGGCCAGAACAGCCAGAGCCAGCTGAGGGTATGAGTGTGCGGGGAGAGGCTACAAGAACTGAGGCCAGGTGCTCTTGTGAGGTTTTGCTTGTGGAGAGGTGAGGGCAGGCCTTGCTTTGCCAGCTTAGGCTGGCACGCCAATCCTGTTCACTACCTGGAATAGGCCCATGCAACAGTCCCAATCTCTGAACGAGGTGTACCTTGGTTTCCAGCATTTTGGGGGCTGTTTTCCTTTTTAATCTTTTTTATATTCATTCTATCTTTCTATCTTTCTATCTTTCTATCTTTCTATCTTTCTATCTTTCTTTCTATCTATCTATCTATCTATCTATCTATCTATCTATCTATCTATCTATCTATCTGGCACAGGGTCTCGCTATGTAGCTCGGACTCGTAGTGATCCTACTGTCTCAGCCTCCCCAATGCTGGGATTATAGGAGTGCGCCATCATATCTGGTTTCAGTGGCCAGCACAGCGCTGGACTGGCACTGCATGTGGTACCAGGGGTCAAAGCCGGATCCTTGCACTTGCCAGGTGGGTGCTTAGACTGCCAAGCTATCTTCCTGATCTCCCTGGCCCTGGGGGTATTTTTTGAGACAGAAGTCTCACTATAAAGTTTGAACTTGCAATAATCCTCATGCCCCAGCCACCTGAGTACTGGGCTTACAGGTGTACACTAGTGTTTGAACTGGTACTCGGCATCTGCCTAACCAGTTGGTTCTGTGTGCTGCTGGCCATGAATTAGGCTGGCCCAAACACATGATGCCCTGATTTCTCTATTACTTTAAAAATTATTACAGTGGGGAGAATAGCAAGGAAAGAAAAAATCTCTTCAGTACTTACTACGTACCAAAGGCTAGAAGTGCCACAGACATCATTTCATGCAAATACTGAAACACCTGACCTCACCTTCAAGATGAGGAAGTTGAAGCTCAGAGAGGCGGGATCAGTGGCAGAAGCCTCAAGGCTGTGTGAGGTGGACCTGGGGCTCCCAGCCAGCAAAGCTCTTCCAACTGGATCCCAGCACTCCACATTGGATGCTGGAAGGCACTGAAATGCTGAGCTGTAGGCACAGGTCTCCCTCTTGGGCCAAACCCAACCCATGTTCCTTTGCACCATCTCACTTCCCTCGGCTCCCCTGTGGCCTGACCCACTGAGGGATCCTCTGTAACCCTCCAGGCCAGACTATTGCCTCTCCTCCCAGCAGCAGGCATTCACCAGCTCATCATGCCCAGTCCCACCAGGGTCATGGGGCAGCCTCCTCAGCTCCCTAACACACATGAATTTCTTTGACAGTAAGTGGGAGGAGGGAAAGCAAATAATTCTGAATCAGTGCGGACTGAGGGCCTGGCGAGTCAAATTCTGAGAAACTTTTCTTCCCCAGGACTCACCCCATTAACAGGTTCAATGCCCTGGACCTGAATGCTGTAGAGGTGACCCTGGCTCTCAGAGCATCTGGTCAAACAAGTGCACACTAAAACTGTGCTGATGACAGGAAGGCTGCAGAGCCAGCTGAGGAGGGCACTTTATATAAGGCTTCAGAAAGAAGGGCTCCCCTGAGGGCGTGACCTTGCAGCTGAGGCCCAGAGATGAGGCAGGGCCCAGCCCCATCTAGCACAGAGGCACACTCACTAACACCCAGGAGGACAGCTGGCCCCAGGCAGGTGAGGGTGGCCAGGAAAGCCTAGAAGAGGCAGAGCAAGGAGCCTGGCCTTTATTCCAACTCTGACAGCATCTCTGAAGGCAAGACTTCAGGTGAAGCAGGTGGCTTCTGGAGATGCAGCACAAGGCTTGGCCAGCAACAGATCTGGGGTCTGTGCTTGAACTCCAGGACTGCCCTAAACAGGCCAAGGAGGACCACGGGGTCCACAGAGCCTTCCTTTACGACAGATAGGCTGGAAGGCTGTGTCTGTGAGCAGCTGGCACAGCCCAGATAAAGGTCACTGCTCCTCACCCACTGTATCACAGTAGCTGGAATGGAAGCCAGCGGCCCCCTTGTTCACCACCTGCCAAGGAGGAAAGCCATCTCCTGGCCACCAGGCACAATGAAGCCAGAGAGAGAACCACCTCAGTGGGGGTGGGGGTGGGGATGGGGTGATGCAGAAGACACCCAAAGGGCCACTTACTCCAAGTACTAGGGTAGGGTATTTGCTGAGAGACGGGTGGGTGGTAGGTCCCAGGAGCTACCTTGAACCCTCCAGTTAGAGCTGCAAAAAAACGCCCAGGCCAGCCCAGTAGCTACGTGGCCAGCACTCACTGAGGCCTGACTGAATCCTCACCCAGCTGATACGGTTATTTTCCTCTTCGCAGAAGAACCTGAGGCCCACCCCTCTCACACTGTGTTTTGCAGACCACAGGAGACACATATGTACATATTGTTTCTTCCCTGTTTTGTCTGGGTTCCCAGTCATGGTGCCTCTGCAAATCCCGCAAGGACCTTAAGAGCATACTCGGGTAGGGGTGTGTTTCTGTCTTGATGACTGGGACTGCCACACAATCCTCTGGCCCACCCTGGGCCTCAAGGATGGTGACAGCCTTCAATGCTACTCCACTGAACTGAGAAGCCAGGAAAAGGACTTGTTTCTGGGAACCACATCTGGACAGAAGACTGAATGCAGCGTGTCTGCCCTTTCCTTAACCTCGGCAGACTCGAGGACTCCAATGGGATGGTCAACTCTTCTCCAGCTCACTATACTGCTTGAGAGCTGAGGTCCTGTCAACTAGGGGACCCAAGGAGGACCAGAGACTATGCCCAAAATTCTTGGGAGCTGCCTACCAGGCCCACAGGCTAGAATTCAGGTCAAAACCAAAAGCAATGTTGCCAGACCTGCCAGGTTGTATTTTAGGACTACACCTCGTGGCCCCAACAGAGCTGCAGTCCAATGACAGGGGCCAATGACAGGGGCCAGGAACAGGCACTCCAGCCCAGGAACATGGAGAAGGGTTAACACAACAGCTGACAAAGGGGCAGGACCATAGGCAGGTGGCCGAGCAGTGCTGATAGTGCAGTGGCCGATGAGGATGACCTACTTCAAACCCACAGGACTGCATCTAATCACTGGGTTTCTGTGTCCCAAGAACACACAATCTGGCTTCCAATCCCCTTTCCCGCCCTGCTCTGCACCCTACATCGGCAACCTTGCTCCCTGGAAGATCAAGCGAAAGCACTGCAGCAACCACACAACCCCTTCCAGCCTACAGGGGCCTCACCAAGGGCAGTGCGGGGAGCCACCTGGGAAAAGCTGCTCGGATGTGGGAAGCCAGCACATTCTGGGATGAACTGACTTTCCTTCAAACTGCTGCCAAGCATTCCACAGAAAGACAGGGCCTTGACCACAAAGCAGTGTCAGGACTCCATGCCCTCTGTGCCTGTGGGAACAGAGTCCACACAGAAGTCATCTCCCACTTGGAGAGAAATGAGCTGTCAGAGAACACTTGACTGTCCTCAAAAGTAGGCCCCCAGCCAGGAGCAACAAGCATCACAATCACATCTGTTTCTCTTTTCTTCGTTCTATCATTCCTCCTGCCTCAGTGGCGGGCAGGGAGGGTGAAGAAGCAAGCATAGGCAGTTCGGACCACCTGCTTCCAGGACCCCAGTCCTCTAATTCTTTCTCTACAGAAGCGGGCGCAGACAGTCTGGCTAGATGTATGTGTGTGTGCACGTGCACGTGCATGCATGCACACACACACACACACACACACCAGCTACTCAATCTCTCTATTTTGAAGAGTAAAATTAAATTGGATGCCAAAGTCTACTAAATCTCTGAGAGAATTTTCCTTTCCTTTGTACTTTTGAAAAGGAATCCTTCATGGTACTGGATGAGGAAGATTTCATATAAGAAAACTTTGAGGATTTTCTTTTTTCAAAGAAAAATACTGCAAACACTTTACAGAAATGCAACCAATTAAAGAGACCTTAGGCTAGAACTGTCCCAGAGACAGAGGCAAGAGCCGATGAGGGCAGAAGTTCCAGGCCGGGGCGGGGCGGGGGGGCTTGTCCTGGATGAGAGTCACACTCTGCCTTGAGGGCCACTGCGGGGCCCACTTGCCAGCTCTGCTCAGTCGGCAGGCTTCAGAAGAATCACCCTGGGCCCCTACCAGGACTGTTTGAAGACTCCACCACTTGCCCACAGACATTCTAAGGAGCTAAGTAACAAACAGAAAAAACTCTTGTATCTGCCTGGTGCAGGTGTGACCCGCGCTACTAAATGCCGCTAGTGTCAAGGCCCCGACACCTACTGGGCCGGGCGGGGCGGCCCTCACTCACCTGTGCTTGCTGTCCTCTCCATTCCCACGCGCACTGCCCCCCTCACCCCCGCTCCGACTGCTCTGTGCTGAGGCTGCCTTTCGAGGTCTTGTTCTGCAAGTGTGGGAGAGGGCACGGAAGGGGGGGCTGATGCCGGCAAAGCCACGAGGAGGAGACCAGACAGCGGGACAGAGGGGCCAAGTGTGGGAGTCAGGGAGGGTAGAGGTGAGGACAGGAACAGCACATGGAAAAGGAAAGAAAAAGGAGAATCAGTATTGAACAACACACAGGAGACACCCAGACAAGGTTTCTGAAGCAAAATTTGACCGTAAGTAAACAGAGAATACCATGAGAGCTATAATCCACCTCTGGAAATAATTTTTAATGAAAAGCATAAACATCTTTCAGGAAGATTTTGAGGATGGACCTCCAGGCAACCGTTTACTACTTCCTCATTCTTAGAGATCAAAGGCTGTGAGCAGCCACTGGCCACCAGGTGTCACTGTGACCTGCCAGATGGGGAAGCTACTGCAGGAAACATTAGGTGGCAGTAGCTCCACCCTATTGCTTTGGGGTTCCTTCTCCACCCCCCCTCCCATGGACAATATCTCAGAAACGGGTCAGTTACCTCCTCCATTTCCTAACAGGGCAGTGGGGGCCACAGTGTATCACCAGGCTACCTTTGCAGCTCTACAATTTGAAGGAGACTGAACTTCCCCAAAACCCAGGCAATTCTTTCCCCATCACCCAAATCTCTAGAAAATATCTCTGATTCCCATCTCACCAGATCAACCTGTGAACTGCAAGTCTATTAAACTACAGTGGAAGTCAGTAATTTCATCAAGCCTGATCTAATTTCTCTGAATAAATAGAAAGTCCCTTCAAGAACAAATGCACACATTGTTTGCAGCCCCCTCATACCACACAGGGTGCTGGCCCATGGGCCTGCCTTCAGGACAGTGCCTCTCCACTTTCCTGGGGCCAGGAACAGGCCAGAAACACTAGGTGCAGGTGGGAACGGGCACAGTGGAGTCTTCCGAAGACTGGGCTTTAGTCTTCTGGGAGCAGGCACCCTCACCCCCCCGCCCTGTAGGGAATGCAGGCTCTTTGGGCCTTTGACTCACCTTGTGCTTGGGGCACCTCACCGAGAAGTTCTCCTCATGAAGCAAACAATCTGCAAGACAGAAGAGACAATCAACAGTCAATGCAGCCTGACCCAAGTGTGGTCATGAAGTCTACAACTGAGAGCATCAGACTTGGAGGTGAAAGGTCCCTATGCTGTGGTTTCTAACATGAACACACTACCACCCCAAATAAACTATGTGGTACCATGTCACAGTGCAGTACCAATCACTTAAATAAGTAACATTTTAAAATGGCTAATGGTATGCCTGAACACTGATGGTATCAAACTGCTTGAACAACCAGGATACACAAATGTGTAAGTATTCCTAATTTCATTAAGAAAAGAATGGAAGGGCCAGCCAAATAGCACAGAGGATTAAAGCACCTGCAAGCAGGTGCAAGGGCTGGGGGTTTGATCCCGGGCACGCTGAGATGGCAATCGAGACTGGGTGAAATGGTGCATGCCTGTAATCCCAGCTCTTGGGAGGCTGTAAACAAGCAGATCACTATGACTCCGATCTAGTAGTGAGACCCTGAACATCTGCCTTCAGGTGAGCGGGGCTCCATGGCACAAGGCTGGTGCAAAGCACAGCAAGGAAATCTAATTAATGAGTTAGTCTGCACACCACAGCTCCTGCAGCCAGGTCACTGGTGCAGGACGTGGTGGCAGGGTCTCAGTCAGTCGGTCAGTCAGTCGGTCCGTCCGTCTGTGTCTCCCCCTTCCTTCCCTCCCTCATTTTTTCTTTTTTGTGGTACCAGGGATCAAATTCAGGACCTTGTGCTTGCCAAGCAAACACTTATTCCACTGAGCTATCTCCCCAGCAAAGGCACTTTTTAATTTTTATGCAGAGCTCAGGAATTTGTGATGGGAGAGGGGACTAGGCCAAGAGCCCTGCTGCCACCACACCCCACTCCACTGCAGAAACAGGAGCCTCTTCACACCCGAGTCACATAGTTCACACAGAACACTTCGGGAATAGCGGAATCCCAAGAGAGTGCTTGTAATCCCAAGTGGGGTGGTAGAAGGAGTGATTCATTCCAACTTTTAACACGGTGACAGCACTCTTGACGCCAGTGAGAAACATCTGCCTTCAGGTGAGCGGGGCTCCATGGCACAAGGCTGATGCAGAGCAGAGCAAGGAAATCTAATTAATGAGTTCACTCTGCACACCACAGCTCTGCAGACCGCCAGCCGGGTCACTGGTGCAGGACGTGGTGGCAGAATGTTAATAAATATTGATCACACATTCTCAGAGGCTCCCCAGCACCATGGCAGAAGGCAGCTGTAGTACTTACCCTTGTTAAGTTTGCAATTTAACCAGTTTAGGCTGAGATCCAGCTTACTAGCCTGTGTACCCAGAGATTTCAAGTGAAATAGTAATGAGCAAAGAAGCATATAAATGAGAACTTTCAGGTTCCCAGTTTGCTGAATGAATCCAAGGATACTTTCCTCATTCAGCTCACCCCACACCAGCAGGACCTGCCTTGGGCATCCTCAGCTATCCAGAGGGGGTGTGTCAGCCCTCTGTGCTCACTGGGCCCAGGAGCCCAGCAGTCCGCACTAACCTCCAGACCCCTCCCCCCACAGGCAACCAGCCTGGCGGCAAATGAAATGTGTTAATTTAAAACCCACAAGTACATAGCGTGACCAAGACTCCTGCTGCTCCAATCTGCCAGAGAGTTTATGAACAGCAGGAGAGAGACAACTGGAGCTCAGGGAAGCACTGTCTCCTCACCTGGGCTCTGCAGCACTGCAGAGCTGGCCATGAGGTTTACAGAACCTAGGACAGGGCTGTGTTTGTGGTAAAGGACGCCATCAGAAAGGCACAGGTGGCTCAGCTCCCCACAGCCGCAGCAGAGTGACCAGCAGACATGGATCACTGATAAGTGTGCCTAAAGCTAGGAAATGCTTTCCTGAATTAAAGCAAAGAAGAATAAGCATATACATACAGGACAACTGAGAACTAGGTCCAGGTAGTTTGGGAAAAGGAAGTCTCTTTAGAGTTGCCAGGGGCTGTGCCCACCTCGGCCCATGGGAACACCGCGCAGACAAGCGCGCTTGGCTGTTTTCTTGCAGAGCCACAGATTGTTGGGAACTGCAATTTTGTCCCTGGCAGATGTCAGCAGCACAGCGAGAGAGCTCTGAGCCTTGGGAGGAAGGATACAGGGAGCTTCTGCCACCTTCAGCCGGCTCCATGGGGTGGACACCGAGAACAGGAGACAGTGCAGTGAGTCTCTTCTGGGGCACCTACAACATGACTGGCCAGCCAGTTGCCTGACGTGGTTTCTCTGAAGCCTGATTACCCTACACTGCAGAGGGCCTGCTCAGCATTTCCACGGGATGAAGTCAAAACAAGACTGAGAAAGCGGCCTCCTCACCAAGATGTCTTCCAGAAACAAACAGCCCGCAGGGAGGGTACGCACTTTCATTTCTCTATATGCCGGGTGGGCTTTGTGGAGCCCCTTGTAACAAGTGCCACAAACAGCTTCATATACGTGCCTAGCCACGGAGACTGGCTCAACACAGCAACCAAAGGGATGAGGTGAGAGAACCAAGAACATCCTGTCCTCTGGATCTGCTGGGCAGCAGGCACTATCTCAGGCTTGGCTACCACTGACCTCTGAGCTGCTGTCATCTGTTGCTGTCCTGCAGAGGGGAAGGGGGCTCTTGGAGCACATGGAGGGAAATAAGGGGCTGCCTTCTGGGAGGGGCCAGACCCTAGGCACTCCACATGACTGCTCCAGGACAACAACCCACTACCAGAAGCCCAAAGTCTACAGTGGAGGGCTGCTTCAACAAAGCAGTCAGGCTCAGGTTGCTTTGGTTCGATCCCCACAACACAAGACAGCCAGTTATGCCTTGAAGGCATTCGGAGCAAAAAAAAAAACACTTCTACAGTGGAGGGAGCAGCTTCGAAATGATGCTACGAAGGTGGCTTCAGTGACTGAAATTCCCAGCTGTGTTTTCTTCATGAGAGTAAAAGGAAAATCCCCTCCAGCAAAAGTCTTCATGCACTGAAGAATCATTAATGAGCTACCACAGCTCTTTTTTCCTAGTCTTAATTGCTATGGCTCACTGTATTAAATGCATTAATTTTTTAAAAAAATAAGTCAAAGCTCATGGCTCATGATCTTACTGCATGCTCTATCTGGAGCCAAATCATGTGCCTGGGACATAACAGGCAGCACAGAAAGGTGGATAATGATATCAGAAATCAGGACCAATGCTGGGGGTGGAGGGAAGGTGCAGGAGCCACAGATCCTCAGGAAACAAAGATTCTGTTTCCATGGAGACATTCTAGCAATAAAAGTTTTCCCTGAGACATCAATAGCTCTTCAAAGGTTTAGGAGGAAGGGAGGAAGAGAGAAGGGAGGAAGGGAGGGAGGGAGGGAAGGAGGGAGGGTGGGAGGGAGGGAGATAGACAGAGACCGACCAGTAGTTGGCAGCAAAGCTGAGGATCGAAGACCATGGCCCCATATTCAGCCAGAGGTATTACTAGCTCAAAGCTCAAGTGGGCAGCACACATGACAGGCTGGAACAGAAAATGACAGGTATCATCTGCTGATTGACCCTCAGCTAATGAACAGAGTCCCTGCTGCCTTTAGGCTGGAGGGGAGGGATATAATGTTTCCACTGACTTCCTCACCCTCTCTGAAAAGTCCTAGTAAGACTGCTGGATTTCAGGGGCTGGGGAGATGGCTCAGTAGAATAAGAGCTTCCCTGGCAAGCGCAAGGGCTTGAGTTCAATCCCCGGTTCCGCAAAAAAAAAAAAAGTTACCATATTGTTGGGGGCCTGTCCCTTAGAGCTCAGTTCTTTAAGTGTGGTTCAATCCCCACAACTCAAGCCAGCCAAACCTGCCCTGAAGGCATTCGGAGCCAAAAAAAAAAAGATTGCTGGGTTTCAGCAAGGTGGCTCTAGGTGTGCTGTCCAGTCATGAGTTGTATGTGTGGTCACTTAGATCTAGGTTTTTAAAAATTCACTTTTTCTGTACCACTAGCCATATTTTGAGTGTTCAACAGTCACATCTGGCTGTGGGTGTGGTAATGCAGTATGTAAATCCAGAGTGTTTCTACCGTCACAAAAAGTTCCACCAAGTAGCATGCTTACTTCTTCAAGCCCTACTAGAAGGCAGGTAGGGGTAGGAGCACATCCCCAGCTGGCCTTGCGGCTGCCAGCCTCACTACTATGACGCTGGTGTCCAGTGTGCCTGCCCACAGGACATGCTCGGCTTAGGGCACAATCATGGCTTGACTGCTCTGCCTAAGGTTTCTGAACAGAGCCTCAGTGCAGGAGACCACAGGGCAAATCAGGTCTTGCAGGATTTTCCATATAAAAAGACCAATCACCCCCAACTTAACACTTAGAACCCTCACTTGAAAGCTTCAAGTAGAAAAGAAAACATTCTGCAGGAACTGGGGCAACACAATAAAAAATGAGGAAAGGCAACTGGTTGGCTCCTGAGAGAGGATTTAACAGCTGTGCTGCTGTATGTACTGCTACAGAACGTGCTGGCCCACGACCTAGGGCTAAAGAAAGTCCAGACAACACAGAAGCACTTTCTAAAACCCAAACTCGCTCACAGGAAATTATGATGCTATTTCTTGTTCCCTACTGTCCCTCTAGTCAACAGTGTTCTAGCCACCACCACACACACCTGTACATGTACACACACACACACACACACACACACACACACAAGACCCTAACTTGGGCAGTAAGCACTATCATCTGTACATTTTCTGGTCCTTTCAGTTGTTACTTCTACACTAACTTGTAGGAAAGACGGGAGAGGAAAGGGACAGAGAGAAAGGTACAAAAGCTGGGGATTCACTCTAACAAAAGTTGGGGGAGCCAACAAGATGCTGACCTTGGAGCAGGGTGAACAAGACCAATTCCTGAGGCCCCACATGCCCGTCCTCTGGCTGCTTTACAACTGTGCCTGTCCCTGAAGCAGGTCAGCCTTACTCTCTTTCATACCAAAGCCCGCTGCCTCCTTGACAGCCCTGTTTCAACCCCACAACTTGGGGAGCACTCAGACCACACATAACCTGCTCCTTACTGCATTCTCATTTTATTCTTCCTCCAACCTGAGTGTGAGGCATTATGAAGACTAGCAGGCTGAAGGTCTTACGGACACTCGATGGTCAGAAAGTAAGTGGGAGAAAATAACCCACTGAAGAGACTGAAGTCTAGGGGAAGAGGCTATTCCTCCCACGGCACAACGAGCCAAACCAGAGTCCTGTGAGCAACTCACTGTGTAGCACAGGAGGTTTCTCTCAGCAGACATCACCGTGCAAAACACCATCTGTTCTATCTCAACAGATGAAGTGTCACAGCCCTGTGACACAAACCCTTATCATTTATTTCAGGAAATGATACTAGGACACTAGGAGAATCTTAGGGTCCTGGCCCACAGCCCTCGACACCTTGGAATTTCCTCAGTGTAGGAGCACCTTCAGTTCCCAGCAAGGACCATGTGGCTAGGGCTGGAGACTGAGTTAGTAATCAGTCCCAGGTGATGAACCTTCTCTGAAAACCCCCAAATGACAAAGGTTCAGGAAGCGTCCAGGTGTTGAATGCATGGAGGTGCTTGAGGGTGGCGCACCTGCTAGGGCACATCTGTCTCCTCCACCCCCAGCGCTGCATCTTTTCCATTTGGCTCTTCCTTTGTATCCTTTATAACAAAAGGGTAAATATAAGAAAATGCTTCCTGGGGTTCTCTGAGTGTTCTAGCACATTAATCAAACCAGAGGAGAGAGGTAGGAACCCTGGGTACAGCAGGTCATTCAGAAGCTTAAGTCACAACCTGGGACTTGAGAATGCTGTGTGAAGTGGGGCAGTGGGGCACTGAGCCCTGAGTGTGTGGGATCTGCACTCACTCTGTTTAGTGTGAAACCTGAGATTGTGGGATACTAGTGTCCCTGGGAGACTGCTAGGTGTCCACAGAAAAGGAGCATGGGGTACATGGTGAGCAGCAAAAGATGCTTTTCCTATTTGACACACAGTCCTTTGTGATAAAACACTCTTCAAATTAGAACTAGACTGGCATTCCCTCAGGTACATCAAGAACACTTATGCAAAGCTATCTCTCTCTCTCTCTCTCTCTCTCTCTCTCTCTCTCTCTCTCTCTCTCTCACATTCAGTTATTCATTCATGCATTTATTAGCAGTACTAGAGATCCAATCTTGAACTCAAGGACGTTTTTGCCACTATGCTACATCCCTAGCCCTTTTATTTTTTATTGTGAGAAAGGAACCTTAGCTTCCCAAGTAGCTGAGATTAGAAGTGTGTGCCACCACACCTGACTTTATATTTCCCAAATCAGGAATAAGAAAGGGTGTCCACTCTTAACACACTTATCCAAACCTTTATTGGAGGTTCTAGCCAAGGCTGGCAACTAGGCAGGGAAAATAAATAAAAGGCATCAGATCAGGAAGGCAAAGCCAGGTGTGGTGGGGCGTATCCATAATCCCAGAACTCAGGGGGCTAAGGCAGGAGCACCACTGTGAATCCAACACCAGCCTGGGCCACAATGGAGTTCAGGGATGACCTGAACTGTATGGTGAAATTCTATCTCAAAAAGCCCCCCACCAAACAAACAAACAAACACCAACTAAACAAACAAACAAAAAACCCCACAGGAAGGAAGTAAAACTATCTCTATTCACAGATAAAATGATCTTGTATACAGAAATTCATTACAAACTATAAAGTTCTGCAAAGTTGAAGCATACAGGATCAATATACAAAAATCCATTATATTTCTATACATTCACAATGAACCATGAAAAATTAAGAAAAAAAATCAATTACAACACTAAAAATAAAACATAAATTTAATGAAAGAACTATCTAACATATCTTCTAAAAACTACAAAAGAGTGTTAAAAAAATTGTAGATCTAACCTGAAAGTCATTTCATGATCATGGAGTAAAAGATGATAATATTTGCTAATTTATGTAGATTCAATGCAATCTCTATCAAACTTTCAACAGCTTTTTAAAAACATTTTTAATTTATCACAGGGTCTTACTATACAGCTCAACACGATCCTCCTGACACAGCTTCCCCAGTGCTGGGATTACGGGTGTGCGCCACCATACGTGGTTGCAGGGCCAGCACAGCATGAAGTACTGGGGATTGAACCCAGGTCCTTGGGCTTGCCAGGCAAGCACTTAGGCTGCAAAGCTATCTTCCCCTTCCTCAACAGCTTTAAAAAAAAAAAAAAAAAAACGGACATGGGTAAACTAAAGTTCATCCTGAATGGTAAGAGATCTAAAACAGTTAACCATAAGAAGAAATACAATTGGGAAACTCGCACTGCCCAACTTCAAACCCTACTACAGAGCTTTCAGAATCAAGATTGTTTAGAAATAAATCCACACAAGGATGGTCAACTGCTTTTTCAACAAAAATGTCAAGATCATTCAACCAAAAGAACAGCACTTTATATAAATGATTCTCAGACAAGTGGCTATCCACATACAAAAGAATATCTGGATTCCTTCATACAACACAAAATTTAAAACAGATCAAAGAGCTAAATGTAAAGGCTAAATCTCTTAGGAAAAAATACTGGTGTAAATCTTTGGGTTAAGCAATGGTTTCTTTAATATGACACCAGAAGCACACAAAACAGAAAAAAAACAAATTAGACGTCATCAAAATTAAAATTTTTGTGCTTTGGAAAACACTGTCAAAAAAGTAAAAAGTCACAAAATTGGTGAAAATATTTGCAAGCCACATATGTGATAGTAAGGCTGTACCCAGAAATGCAAAGAATTCTTAAAATTCAGCAATAAACAACAACTTGATTTAACAATAGGCAAAAGGACAGGCATTTCTCCAAGAAGACATACAAACACAGAAAGATGTGCAGTATCATTAGCCATCAGGGAAATAACAGCATCACAGTGAGGTGCCATTTCTAATTCCTTTCCTTGGGAACACAGTAAGAGAAAGGAAACCATGTGTGTCCACACAAAGACTCATACATGAAGGTTCTACAGTGGCACTACTTTTTTTTTTAATTTTAGGGGAGGGTCTACACAGGGTGTTCAGGGTCTTCCTACTAGATCGGACTCATACTGATCCCGCCTGTTTACAGCCTCCCAAGAGCTGGGATTACAAATGCACACCACTACACCCAGTCTCAGTTGCCATTTCAGCGCGCCCCAGGGCGGGGCCGGCACAGCAGGCCCGGGGATTGAACCCCCAGCCCCTGTGCCTGCTTGCAGGTGCTTTAATCCACTGAGCTATTTGGTCAGCCCTGGCCTTACTTGTTATAGTCAACAAGCGTCCATAAACAGATGAATGGATAAAACATAGTATATGCTTCACAATAAAGTATTACTCAGCAACTGAAAATAAGGTACTAATTTGTACTACAACGTGGATGAACCTTAAAAATATTGTAAGTGAAAGAACTGTCACAAAAGGCCACATACTATAGCATTCTATTTATATGAAATGTCCTGTTGGGCATGGTGGTGTCCACCTGTAATCCCAGAACTTGGGGAGCTGAGGCAAGAAGATTGCTGCAAGTTTGAAGCTGGCTTGAACTATATAATGAGATTCTGTCTTAAAAACAATATGTATTTATTGTTTATATATAAGTTTGTAACTGGCAAATCCACACAAAGTAGATTAGAGGTTGCCAGGGGGCAGAGGGACAAAAACAAAGGTGGTATAGGAGTTTCTCTACAGGGCGATGAAAATATTCTAAAATGCAGAGTGATGACTGCACAACTCTCTGACCACACTAAAAGTCATTGAAGTATACAATAAATATGCAAGCCACACGTGAATTAGATGAATATGTAATACTGTAATTTAAAAGATACACAATTTGACTTCCTTGTATTATCTTCTCTGTATTCTTTTAGAATTTACAAACAGAAGAGGGTCAAGAGAGACCAAAGGAATTACAGAGGGAAGGTCAGTCGCACACCTCAGCCTGTGTATGTTCTGGAGAAGGCTAGGTGGTCCTCACTCACCTGCATCGATGGCACACGGGTAATGGTAGCGGTAGGAGCAACCTTTGTTGTAGCAGCCCAGGGTGGCGCCAGCCTCCTGGCAGTGGGAGCATTTCTGAAAGGAAGGGAAGAAGCCAGGTCAGTATGCAGATTCCCCACCGCCACAGGCCTTGCCTGGGCACCATCGGTCAGACCTCAGCACATCTCTGAGGCTGAAGGCCTCTGGTGCAGGATGGGTGCTCAGTTACTGACCACAACACAGGAGCGCTCCAGGAATTCATGCTAAGGCTGGGCTTCGCAAATGACCTCAAATCAGGTAAGAACACAGGGTGGAGACAAAGGGAATGACCCCACAGTGTGGTGACCATACTGAACAACACAGCACCCACTCCTGCCTCTGGTGTCCCAGGTGTCCACCCACCTTCATGCTCTGTTGGTCATTTCATTACTGCCAGCGAGAGCTGCCTGAAGATCCTGCCTGTTTATTTTTGCTATGCAAATTTAGGATAGGAGGAGGGGGTTATGGTAGGAACACAGATAGATAGATAGGTAGATAGATAGATAGACAGATACACACACACACACACACACACACACACACACACACACACACACACAGACCAACCGACTGACAGCTCTTTCAGAATTGAAAGTGGAATGTGGTCTTTAGTTCTTATAAGATTTTATTTTTATTGCAATCTATTTAACCCAAATGCCCAATACAAGTAACTTCCCTTTTCAGAAAGTATGGGTTCCTGTATGCAAGTGGTACTTTTATACATGAATCCTATTTTAAATGCACTAGGAAACCTGCCACAAATCCCTGGCTAAGTGAGGGATTATTCTGTAATTGAGATGCTCCTTCTTATATGGGTAGGTTTTCTTAAAGTGGGGCACATCTCTATCATCTCAAGACGTGGCTGCTGTGAGTGCTCATACTGTCAGCATAGAAAACACATGACAGGGGCTGGAGAGATGGCTCAGTGGTCTAAAGCACCTACTTGAAACAAGCTTGGCAAAGCACAAGGACCACGGTTCAATCCTCCAGCACCACATGCCAGCCAGCCCCACCCCCTGGTGGGCTGAGCTGGCCACACACACACACAATAAATAAATGTAATAAATAAAAATAAATAAATATTAAAAAAAAAAAAAAAAAAAAAAAAAAAAAAGAAAAAAAACACATGAAATCAACCCCAATCGCATTTGTGAAATTCAACCACATGAGGGCCTGTTGAGGAAGGATGCAGATTCTGCAGGTGGCTGTGGCACATCCAGGAAGGCCAACTAGGAGATACAGACAATGGTTCCTGCTTGCACGAAAAATAAAGTAAGTATGTTCCCTACGTGCATCCACTAGAGCTGGCCCAGTCCTTGAACGCCAATGCTGAGCTGACACAATGACCAGGACAGCTGTGGTGATGGACACAGATTCACTCATCCTGGGGAATAGGGACCAGATGTCTGCTGCTTCAGAGGGAAGGACCTCAGTTCAGGTCAGGGTGGAAATAGCCTCCAGACACAAAAGGGGGGCGGTGCTGTAAAATAAGCCCTACAAGAACTATGCCCTCCACTCAAAAGACCAAGTCCCTCCTGAATGCTGCTAAGACATGCTTAGCATGTGTACTGCTAAGGAAAGCCAAGATCACTTGGCCTGGAGTAAAACAAGGACAGTGGACAGCAGGCCCAGAAGCACTGGCTATCTACCACCTGTGCTTCCCGGTGACGACTACCACCAACCCTAGGGAATGACATCTGACCAGTCTGTCTGTGGCCAACTGGAGGCTATCCTTGTGACCTCCTTGTCCTGCAGGGAGCCTGGACATTCAGCTCTTCAGAGGATTTGCTTCAGGCCCTCGGGGGGTTAGTCTCAGCTGTGGTGGCCACTTAAGAAAGGGTGTGTCAGGGGCTGGGGAGATGGCTCAGTAGAATAAGCGCTTCCCTGGCAAGCACAAGGGCCTGAGTTCAATCCCCAGTTTCAAAAAAAAAAAAAGGGGGGGGGGTCAAGCATTTCTGGAAGGAATGCCTACAGGGAAAGAGGGATAAGAGGAAGGCACAGGGCATCCTCTTGCTCAGCCTCTGTGAAGAGGGGACAACAGCAAATGTGGCAACCATCTTGTCATCACAAGGGACAGCCCTGAAGATGTAGCCAATCTGCTGGGGGACAACAGAGTAGCAAGATGGAGAGACCCAGACCTATGGTGATACTACTAAACAACAGACTAATAACTTCAGGACCACCTACTAGAGATGTTAAAGCACAAGACACTTAAAAACTCTATTTTAAAACTTGTGTTCAAAGTATGCTAAATGATACAGGAAGGGACTTCTGAATAAGGTCAAGCGTGCAGGCTCTGGAACCTAAAAGAGCGACTTGCCACTGTCTATCTAGCTTTCCCTGCCTGGCCAAATCCCTAGCCTTTGTTCCCCACACCTGCACATGTGGGAGGAACAGCACTCACCTCCAGAAATGTGATGGTTGGCCACATTAATCCAGTTTTAGAACAGTGTCTGGATGCAAAGTGTTAGTGACATGACCCGAGAGGACCACATGCCAGACACAGCTCCACATTCTACACAGCCCCTGCATGAAAGGCAGCCTGCAGAGCGGGCCTTGCCTTGTTACCACCCTGATTTCCAGAGCTGTGGAGCTGGGCTCTGACTTCCAGTTTCCTCCTGACTCAATACCTGCTGCATTTTGATCCCCTGTGGGGCTTCCAAAGCAACCAGCCCGGACTGCACATTCCGTGTTTTTTATGAAGAAAGCAAACTCGCCGCTAACCAGGACATTATATCAATGAAATACTTGTTGCTGTTGTACTTTTTTTTTTTTTTTTAAAGATAGGGTTTTGCTCTGCAGTTCAGGCTGGCCTTGAGCTCACTTTGTAGCCCAGGCTGGCCTCCAACTCAAGTGATCCTCTTGCCTCAGCCTCCGGAGCGGCTCTTGGATTACAGACACATGCCACCACATCCAACTTTTTTTTTTTTTTTAAAGTACTGGGGACTGAACTCAGGGAGTAATGAGCTACACCCTCACCCCTTCTGAGTTTGTTTCTTCTAAAGTGAAGTCTTCCTTAGTATCCCCAGCTGGTCTCAAACTTGCAATTTCCTACTTCAGCCTCCCTGCCTGGCTAATGCTTGCTTCTTTCAGTTAGAAAGCATGATTAACTTACTAAATTACATATACAGGAAAAAGACCCTGCAGGGTGTACTGGGACCTAGAAAAAGCACATTAGAGACAGATTAGATCAGAGGTTCTCTGAGTGTGGTCCCTCTGCCAAGCAGCACCCATACCTGCTGGAAATGCAGACTCCCAGCCACACACCGCACGCTGTAACAAGCCCTCCCATCAATGCTGATGCATAGAACCGTTCACAAGCACTGGTCTTTCAACTCCCTAACTTTTTAGATGTATACAACAGAAACACAGAGAGATATAATGACAGGCTAGAGTCCAGGTTTCAGAAGACCCATTTAGCACTTTCTCTACTATATGTCTGTCCTCAAAAAGGCAACCTACACATTATGATGTGGGAAGCAGAATTATGACTCCTCTAACAAGGTCCATTTGAATCTCCAGAACCTGAGACTTTTCATTCCAAGACTAATAGGCAGATATGATTAAAGTCAATGCCTCACATTGGGGAGTGCATGCTAGAGTATTCAGAAGCCCACAGGAGATAGCTATCTGACCACAGGAGCACAAAAAAACCAAGACTTTCCACTAGAGGGGCCTAGAGTCACAGGCTTTAGGAAGCAGGGTTGCACAGATAGAAGGTGCTAGCTTTAACGGAGGAAGAGAGAGCCACAAGCCAAGGAGAGTGGGTGGCTGTAGAAGTAGGAAAGACAAGCAAACAGTCTTCCTTGGAGCCGCGGAAAAGGAGCCCAGAGAAGCTGACCCCCTGGGCTTCAATTCTTTGAAGCTGCAGAATTGGAAGGTATCACTATGTGGTGGCATATGATGGTGATGACAAGCAAGCTAATATGTGGGAATTTCCTAAAAAGTTCCTAATGAAGAAAAATGATTGTTCATTTTCCTTTACATTGGCCAGTGTAACAAATTTCCCCCTCATGGGAACATCCAAATTCATGAGGCCAACTATGGCATCCTAAAATCCCCAAAGAGGAATGCCAGGTCTGTTTCCAATGTCCTTTTTTACAGCTGAAGCAACACAAGCTACCGTAAAGGAACATAGCTAAAGAATATCAGAACTCAGAATTGAATCCCTTTTCTTCTGACCCCAAGTTCAACATTCTTCACACCATACCATGCCGCCTTCTAGTACCCTTCACTCACTCTGTGATTCAACCTTTGAGATGTATCTCCTATGTGCCAGGAGCCCAAGACAGAATATAAAAACTGACCTCTACAAATTCTTCTCTACCTATTCTTATTCTCCCCTTCTATGCCCAAATCAATTGCCATACCAGTATAATTTCCAATTGGATGCTTATTCTTAACCTCTTACCTGAAGAAACAATTTGCACTCTCATTCTCCTATACTGCTTGGGAAATGTCCTTGTACTTCTGACCACACTGTATTCCAACTTTAATATAGTCATTCATTTCTGGGGGAGGTGAATCTATACAACGTGGCTCCCCATACAACATGAGACACGGAGGGTGGGGTGGAGGTGGTGTTCCTAAATCATGACTTTTTTTTTCAAACAAGCAAAACCCCAAACTTCTGATTTTTTCTTCTTTTTCTTTTTTCTGATCTTTTAATAGGAGTTTTTCTCATTTATCCTGGAGAAGAATAAAAGCTATTTTCAAGCAACTCTGACAAAGAACCTGGCCCTTCGTGATAGTGTAAACTTGGGAAATAAATTATGAACTCGTGTGTTATTAGTTTCTGCCAAGTCTAAACAGATACACAAGCTGACCCTTTTGCCAGCACTTATCACTGTCTCAGACACGGGGCCTGCTCACTTGAGGTGGCAAACTGCAGAGACTGAATCAACTAGAATCCCCACTGCTTGGGGGAAGCGCCAAGGGAAGATTTCTGCAGGCCTCTTCACTCAGTGCAGCTCTTTCCTCAGAGAGGTAACCACGACCTGAATAATCACGCTGCTTAATGAGCATCTCAAGCCGCCTTGAGTGAGCAGCCCCGAGAA